ATTTCTCTCTTACTTTGTGTCTCCATCTGACACCTTTCGAGGTCAGAGCTTGCCAGGTCAGTACAAAAAGAGAAAAAGCATAAAGAAGAAATGTCTGTGTTCAAGACATTTGTCACTCAGCTATACAATGCTATTCATTTGCTAATTTTTAAAATTCTATTTAGGTTCTTTCTTCAAGAACACAGGCAAGCAAAAGAAAATTCCTAACAAGAAATAGGAAGAAACATAGCAATCTAAACCAGAAAGAAACTAAGAGAAGCAGAGAAGCAATTGCTAAATTCTCTGTGAGATGATCACTAAGAACATCCCAAATTTATTCCATTATTTACAAATTCCTCAATTAGAGGTTGTTTTTATACATGGGGGAAGATTAGTATGTTTCAAGTTTCAAATTATTTTGTAATACCAAATTCGATATAATTTTCCATTTCATTAAAAAAACTCTAGTTTCCACAGCTCTTATAAATTGTTATAAGAACTGGTCTTAAATTTCTCCAAATAATTTTGTGGGAAAGAGTAATGTTTGTTAATATTAGCCATACACTTAAAATCGTTAAAATAGATGTTATAAACATTGTTGATCAAAAACCTGCTTGGTAAGCTGTCACCAACTGTGAGCAAAAAAATAAACATAAAACAAAGTCATTTTTTCTGACAGGTTTTTCCAGTGCTTTCTAGCCATGTAATTATTTTAAAGCATTATTAAAATTCATGATGCCTTCATTTTAGATTTTAAGGAAGAGATTTATTTTTTGGAAACCAAAGAACACACACATACACACACACACACATGCACATCTACTCCTTTCCAAACTGTTAGAAAACAATCCAATAGCAACCCTAAATGTATTTGCTTGACATGAATATAATAAAATTTAATTGGGTTGAATAAAAATCTATTTTTGAATTTAAATAAATTAAAATAGCACCTAAGTATTTTTTGTTTTCAAGGGAATGCATAAGCAGATGTGTAATATATATATATATATATACACACACACACACACACACACACACACACACACACACACACATCTAATCCTTTCCAAACTGTTAGAAAACAATCCAATAGCAACCCTAAATGTATTTGCTTGACATGAATATAATAAAATTTAATTGGGTTGAATAAAAATCTATTTTTGAATTTAAATAAATTAAAATAGCACCTAAGTATGTTTTGTTTTCAAGGGAATGCATAAGCACACATATATATATATATGTGTGTGTATATGTGTATATATATATATATATACACACACACACACTAGAGACCCGGGGCACGAAAATTCGTGCACTTGGGGGGTGGGGAGGAGAGGGAGAGGCAGTTCCTGCATTGAGTGTCCGCTTCCTGGTGGTCAGTATGTGTAAGCGACTGGTTGTTCCAGGTCATTCTGCCATTAGGGCCAATTTGCATATTACCTTTTATTATATAGCAGCGGTTCTCAACCTGTGGGTCGTCAACCTGTGGGTCACGACCCCTTTGGGGGTCAAACGACCCTTTCACAGGGGTCACCTAAGACAATCAGAAAACACATATATAATTACATATTGTTTTTGTGATTAATCACTATGCTTTATGTTTAATTTGTAACAATGAAAATACATCCTGCATATCAGATATTTACATTATGATTCATAACAGTAGCAAAATTACCGTTATGAAGTAGCAACGAAAATAATTTTATGGTTGGGGGTCACCACAACATGAGGAACTGTATTAAAGGGTCGCGGCATTAGGAAGGTTGAGAACC